AACGGATACGGCCACTTCATTTTTTTCTGATTTGCAAAAAAAAAATTAAATTCAGAATCAACTGCAAAATGCTCATATTTTGCCCTGAACAGTTGAAAACAGTCCTTTTCTTCCTAGTTGTTACAGTTACTCCATCTTTCAATGCAGTGGTATCATTAAAAGTTCAAAATTCATTGTTGAAATTTTGAACCAGCCTGGTGTGTTGACTTCGTGGCTCCTATCGTACTATTTTGGGCCATAATAGGATGCCTAGGCCTGTTTTTATTTTTTTATTTTTTTCGCCCGCCCGCTCCGTTATTTTTCTAGAAAAATCCGTTAACCAAGAAATTAAATTGGTGTGGCCTTGCACCGGGAACACCGGCACGGGAAATTAAAGAAAGTTCACGGTACGCCGGCCGTCAAAGGAGAGTTTGTGTGTGTAACCTCCCAGCCGTGTTATGGGGACAGGAGGATACCTATGTATCGGGTGAAGATATGCCAGGTGAACAAGCCGTGGGCACACTGCCAGTAGGTGGGTTACAGTTTCACGCTTCCGGGTTACAATCAGTGGGGAAGACTTTGAAGGCAGAAGTTCTCTGTTTCTGTAAATCCGTTAATCTCGAAACCAAGCGACCACCTCTATAAGGGCCTGCATGGGGGGTAGTGATTACGAATTACGCAAAATTTTTGCCGCCGATTACGAGTTGCGTTAGATTCTCAGAGCTGATTATGACTTTACGCTTTGCTGCTAATGTACTTACTATGAATTACATTTTTAAATTTGTTGGAGGCTGCCTTACGGATTACGAAGACTGAAAAGGCCCGATTACGCCTTACGAAAAAGGGCATAACGAACACTTTACTCAGTCTGGATTTTTTGTCCCATAGATGTAAGCATTAAGTAAGGGACTTGCCTAAGCTGACCACTTGTCCAACGCGACCACCATTTGGGACCACACTTGGTCCTATCTCTGCCTTTGACAACCAGACCAGACAAGTGTTTCCCACCAACCTACAATCTACAGGCTTTCAAATCAAACGTTCACTGCTATCTCTTGACATAGCCGTGTTTCTCTCATACTTCTAGTTCAATGCTGAGAAGTGGTCGTATAGGCCTTGCATTGAACCACTCCATTAAAAAAAAAAGTTTAACTGTAATTTGAAAAAGAGGTGTAGATTATGAGACAGCAATAGCAAATGTTCCAAGGACAACAGTTGAATCATCCCAACTGTTCCAAACTTCCGGCAGATCAGTGAATGCTTCCCCAAAGTTCCCACCCTTCATGTCCCACCTGCATTCCTGACGGGATAGTCCGTGCGACGTTTCCTGTGCCGCGCCGCTCCCGACACGTGCTTCCCCGTCGTGGTACGCGGCACGCCACGCTTGCCGCCATGTCAAGAGACAAGAGTAAAGGGCACAGAGATGCCTTGTCACCTTTAAACGAATAATGCTCACCAAACTACCAAAGGCTTTATACGACAAAATCACATTCTAATCTGAGATTCACAAGTACCAAACATGCTCAACCACCAGTACAAACAAAATCAGACTACCAACACCAAAATCCAACTATCAGAAAAGGCGCTTCCTGTACAGAATGTCACAATTGTGGAACAACACAGGAGACAACTAGCAAAGTATTGGACTGTAAATAGAGTATTTAAGGAATTGTGTTAAGTTTGCTACATACTGTTAACTTTGTAATGTTTTTATACGTTCCTCTTCAATTGTAATACAGGTATGTATATGATGAATGTAATGTGTAGACCACAGGAAGTGGATCTAAATTCAAATCAAACTCAAACATCAAGTCTTAACTGTAAATCGTGAAACTTTCGCTGCAGTTTTATTCTATAGTAGGCGGAAAAGGTTTGTACAGTGTTTCAGACTCACAGTTGAAACAATTCTGTAGTACAGTAGTCACTCAAGGAAGATATATTCACTTTGTCAAAACTTTGCAGCAGAGTGGTTACTGTTAAAACTGCGAAAATAGAAGCACCACAAAACAAAGTTTTTACTATTTTTGTGTATTCAGACCCATGCAGAAACATCAGTCTACGAGGTTAAACTTTCAAAAGTTAAAATCCATCCTGCGTCTTTCCAGAGTATAGGGTAGTGCCCATCTCCATATCTTTTGCCCTTGGGCCACACCGCTTTTAAGACTTTGAAGTACAGGTTCAAAGACTGTTTTGGTCAAAGACTACAACTTCTAGCGACATAGCCACCGAAAAAAAAAAAAAAATTTGTAAAAGCCACTATAGAAAATGATTATTTTCAGAAACTCTTTTTCTGTTTTTAGAAATGATCTTGTGACACTAGTGTCTTCTCATGTTAAGTTTAAGAAAGAGGGCCTGCATGAGGGTGTAGTGATTACGAATTACACAAAATTTTCGCTACCTATTACGAATTACGAAGTCTCAGAGCTGATTACGGCTCTACGATTTGCGGCTAATGTCCTATTACGAATTGCCGGGTACGTTGATTCTTGCGGAGGCTGCCTACGAATTACGAAGTCTAAAAACGCCTTACGAAAAAGGGCTTGCAGGCCCTCAAGAAACAGTTAAGTAGCCTTGAACTGCCCAGATCTTGTCCCTTGTTGAAAGGCATGTATGTAGAGGGGCTCATAGGTGAGGAATGCCTTGGATGTCCAGGTTTTGTTACATCTCCACACTTTTAAGTTCTGCCAGCCATGCCCTGGGGTCTCCTTCGGAAGACCGGCTGCAACTTGAGGGTGTTCTGACGTGACGTAAACTTTTCTCTTCCATTTCAAAGGCAAGTGCCGCTTCTGTGTGACTGAGAGAGATGCTACCATGATTCAGCAATTTTCAAAGGACAGACTAGCAGTACTAATGAGGGCTTGCATGGGGGTTATAGTGATTACGAAGTACGCAAAATTTTCACCGCCGACTATGAATTACTTAAATCTCAGAGCTGATTACGAACGGCTAATGTACTGATTACGAATTACAATGATTTCGGGCGGTTGCCTACAGATTACGAAGACTAAAAATACGCCCTAATAGCAATGCACTAATAGCAATGCAAACTGATTTTACTCAATGATGGCGAGGTGTTAGATGTACATTTTCTAGGTAGGCTTTTAGTATAGTAATACATGTATATAAACTTGCTGTACATGAAGTTGCCAACTACTTGTAGATGGTCGAATTAGAAAGGTACAATAATCTCAGTGTACTGCAGAAACTTTTGCATGTGTTTTAATCATTTATTCTACTGTACTGCAGAATTGCGAACTTCAAACACAGGGAAAACCGAATCTATTCCCCCCTCAACCTCAAAATAAAACCACTACTAAGGTAAATGCAAATTTTACAGTAGTCTCTGTGGTACTCTTCTTGAAATTCAGGTTTGAGAGGAAAACAGAACACACTTGTAGAAAGCTATTTATAATAGTTTATATAACACGCCTATTAAACCCCTGTTCCCAACTGACCAGTTAACTGGTCCCCAACAATGTGTGGTGAGATAGGTGATATCTGAGCTGTCACATGCTATTACAGCTGACATACGGAGGGGTCGTGGGAAAAAAACCGACAGGCATTCCTTCTACAGTTATCAATCCCGCTCAATAAACTTATGGTCAAGAGAAGTGCTTGAAACATTATTTATATAACATTGATGGATTTTTGGTAGCGTTTGAGTCTTTTTTAGCTAATTTGGAACAGGAATTCGCTAGCGAAACGAAGCATGTTTAAGGTGACCGGTTGTTGTTGAAAGTGTTCGTTCCTGACACCACTTAGTGTAACGTTTCTTGTATGTTTGCATAAACATTATAGAACATTGATCGATTTATTGTATAGTCTTTCTAAGGCCACACCAATTTAATTTGTTGGTTCTCAGATTCGCCTCTTCATTTTTTTTGTGATTTGCAAAAAAAAAAAATTCTGGTTCTGAATCAACTCAAAAATGCTCATAATATTTTGCCCCAAACAGTTTAGGAAAGTCCTTTTCTTCCTAGTTGTTACAGTAAGTTCCATCTACCAATGCAGTGGTTTGATTAAAAGTTATATTAGATATTAACCCATTGTGTTGACTGACTCCTATCATGGCATTTGGGGCTATAATAGGATGCCTAGACCTGTTTTTATTTTTACGTTTGCCGCCATGCGGCGGCAAACGTAAACATACGAAAACAATGCTTCCATCAACCCTTCGTTGGGTGAACATTTTCGTTTGGGTGTTGCATTCAATGTTTATCTATTATGTTTGCACTTTTTATTGTGGGATGGACCTACCAGATCACATAAACGCAATTCTTATATGACAAAGTTATCAAAAATTAGACTTGAATTGTCTAAAAAATAATTAATCTGTACTACTGTATGCCCAAAGTGATTCTCAGAAGATTATAAAAATTGACATAATGGCCTTGATGAATGAATCGCATAAATTATGTTAATGTAGATGACAAGTTAAACATTGGGTGTTGCATTCAATGTTTATCTATTATGTTTGCATTTTTTATTGTGGGATGGACCTACCAGATCACATAAACGCAATTCTTATATGACAAAGTTATCAAAAATTAGACTTGAATTGTCTAAAAAATAATTAATCTGTACTACTGTATGCCCAAAGTGATTCTCAGAAGATTATAAAAATTGACATAATGGCCTTGATGAATGAATCGCATAAATTATGTTAATGTAGATGACAAGTAAAACATTTGCGCTCGCGCAACGTCTGTAATTAGTGGACAAATATTCCAACAACGATGTTTTAATTGTGGTCCACTACATTGTTGCTAAGTTTCCACACTAAAGAAACTTTTAAAGTACCCTTTTGCCGAAATATACGCCCTTGGCTGTGAAGAGAGAGAGTATCCGGCCCACCGCCATATTTACTAACCGGAAGATGTACTATTTCACTACATCGCTAGATGTCGCTGTTCATGTTGCTCTTGGAAGCCCCCGGATGTACTAGAGGGCATGTATGGGGGTGATAGTGGTTACGGATTACGCAAAATTTTCGCCACCGATTACGAATTAAGTAAAATTCTCAGAGCTATTAAAACTTTATGCATTAAGGCTAATATAATATTACGAATTTCATTGATTTGGAGGGCGACTGCCAACGGATTACGAAGACTTAAATGGTCCGATTACGCCTCAGGAAAAAGGGCATGCAGGCTCCTACAACGAGCATTCCAGCTCTCAGGTACGTACCGTGCCTCAGTATTTACGCCATATAAATTAAAAAAAATATCAGCAATGTTATGAGTATTAGTCATAGAGTTACAGGAAAATAGTATAGCTAAAAGTACCATGGGCAAGGGTGATCAATCTAATTGTGCTTTGACGCGCTGTTTAACAATATTTAGTAGTCAAACTGACTGCCCCCTCCTCTTTGGATTTACAAATGCGTCTAACAATCTCTTTTCGGTATGATCAAATTATGCAAGGCTAAGTTTCTTGCTTTAATATTAAAATTAATTACCGGCAGATGCTTGCCAATCTTAAAGTTTGTTCTCTGGAGTGTTTCTACCGTATCGCCTTAATATTTTGTATTGTTGCATAAATTATTATTTTCTTCTTACAAATTTTCGCTGTCAGTGGGGGGGGCGGTTCAGGCTTTTCATTCGTCGCCAGTATTTTGTTGAAAAAACTTTGAGCTTTCAAGCTATTCGGTTCACACGTAAATCTTTCCTGGTATCAAACATATCTCAATTTCATCAAGAAATTTGAGTGTACTCAGAAACCTAAGAATTGTTCATCAATATGGCAACATATAGAAGCTCTCTCAGTAGTATATGGGTAATTTTGAAGACTTTGATGTGTTCTTTTAGCAACGAGAACTCAATATTTATGTGCACAGTTGCAAATTTTATGTTGAAACAAATTATTTGTCATCTCTTTCAGATGTGTCTTTGGCATTTGGATACCACAAAGCAATCAACCTATGCCACCATTCACTCAATACCAGCCTGTGTCACCGTGCACTCAATACCAGCCTGTGCCACTGTGCACTCAATACTAATGTGCCATTGTGCAGAACTTGCAGATTGTATACTGGATGAGTCCATGTCTCACGAGTGAATTATTAAAACCAGAAACTGTATCTTGCCCTGAAACCAAATATTCAATAAACAATCTGAACACATACATTTAGAATCTGTGTATACTTGTGTCACATTTCTTACATATAAGCCATTAATTGCCTTTGCCCACAATGTGTGAAGCTATACTATCAGGAAAAAAAAAAGGTAACAACATTTTCAGTGAAACTAGCAGAGGTGGCATGTGATTTTCTTGTGCAAAAGTACAATGGCGGCAAACGTCAGCTTTTGTAAAAGCACTTGTTTTATTTTTGCCATGTTGCTACATATTTTTTTCTGAAAAAATCGGAGAACCAACCAATTAAATTGGTGTGGCCTTAGTGTGTTTTGAATGGGAACATACAGCAAAACGATGCATGTTGTTGTTGAAAGTGTTTGAAACCTGTTCCTGACACCACTTGGTGTAGCGTTTCTTGTATGTTTGTATAGCTGAGAGGCAATGTTGGTTTGTTTATATAGCTGATCAGCGGTGGCTTGACAGGCCCTGATATTTTTTCCTGCCAAGGGGAGCAGGAGACTTGATGAAGGTGTTTGACTTTGGCGAATGATCAACAGCAAGTCTCCTTTACAATGATGGGTTGTTTGTTTGGACTGATCCTTGGAGCTTTCTCTAGAATTGATGCCGTACTGGATTGAAGACTCTGAGTCAGGGGTCGAAATACCCCTCTGTGTGCAACCTAGTGCAAGTAAATTTGGTTTAGTGCGACTAATTTTTTGCCGGTATGCACCGGTGCAAGTTTGCTTTATCCACTGTTACAACCTGTAGAAATCTAATCCAATAAACAACTGGAAAGGGAACAATTTCAACAAAACCAGAATCCATGAAGTTTTTCTTAATTTTTTGTAATTAATAGAAGGTTACTATCTATGTCGCTTTAGTAGGTTAGTAGTGTAAGCAAATATTGGATGCTGTTAAAGTTACTACATGTACTTTTGGTTGTGTACCTATCATTTTTGGGGGTGCAACTATTTTTCTTCTGGTGCACATATTTTTTTTTGCACCAGTGCAAGTTGGCCCCAAAATCTATTTCAACCCCTGAGACTGATTCATGGCAAAAATGGTACAAAGCTGGTCAAGCAAAGGTTACGCTATTTTTTTTAAAAGCTTTTTTGTCTTTTTGCCAGGCTTTCTACTTTTTGGGGCTTTTGTATCAGTACTCTAGCCAGGATACTAGAAATAAAGCCAAACAAAACTTTTAGAAAAACATTAAAAAATAGGCATTATCTCTGCTTGAAGAGTATGAGCAAAAGAGTTACAAATCATTTTGTAGGAAAAATTGACATATCTGAGTCTACAGCCTAGCAACTTAGAACTCAATTATACCGGCAAATGAACAACTGTGTGCATTTCCTTTTGTCAATTTTTGTGTCTTTTTGTAATCGCTAAAATTTATTTCACTCAATCAATTAAGAATATACATCAGGTCATTTCAGAAAAAGGATTTTCTGTAAAATGAATAAATTTGATGATCTTTCATCAGTGACTGAGAATTGTTTTGCTAGATGTCTAACCTTCATTTTTACCAAGAGCTTTCCTTGATTCTAGCCTGGATGCCAGGCCCATATCACACTAGGACCAGATTTAGGCAAAAACCATGTACATATGCGAGCATACGAAAATTGTGTACGTTCGCTTTTTCTGTGTGTAAAATGGTTGCAATTTTTGTACGCAATTCAGGGTTTTGCCTGTGTGTAAACCGGGTCTTAGCAGGGTCTAAGTTCTAACTGAAGGGGACTGTGGTATTAAGGTCTCATTCATGAGTTTTTTCCATACATTAGAAACCATGCATTAATGAGTGACTTACGAGACCGTGTTCCCTATGATCCTACATTAAATCAATTGATATCTTTCATGCTATGTTGAGCACACTTACTCTACGTCTCATAAAAAAATTGCCAACGACTTCTATACACACAATCCTGTTTTATGGGAATCACAAACTGCACTTAGCAACTGTCCGCAAGAGGCCCTCCCGCGCTGCAAACCTACGACCGCACAACTCACAACAATGGACTGTGCACGTCCGACCTAGCGCGCGGCTGCCGACAATTACGTCCTAATTTCATCAGTTACAAACAAGCTTTCACCGCTTTGACGTTTTACATCAGTTGGGATGGCTAAAGGGAAAATTCTCACCAATAAAAACACGCGTTCATACAGCCGTTTAGTTTTTGACTTGGTACTCTTTTAGGGGGTACACTCGGAGTAATACATGAATGAGACCTTAATGACCATTGATTATTAAGATTTTGGTTCTTAAATGAAGAATATACATCCCCTAACCAATCTCTGAGAAAGATTTTGTTCTCACGTCACTCCGTTACCAAGCAACGGGTCGAATAAAGTTGCGTCAAAATTTTGATATGAGCAGCGCCACCTGGCAGTCTGAAATAAAAGTACAACAGATATCTTAATTACCCTTATGACGTGTCGGAAACAGTAATTTATGTTTTTTTCGTTCCGTTGGGTAGATTAATGTGTTCTGTATGAAATTGTCTGTCTGTAAACCTGAATAGACAGCAAGTGATAGATCTGGACGATGCTGATCATTTGGTGTATGCTGGCAAATGAGGCGTAGCATCAGTAAGGACATTGATGTGCATGTCGCATTAGGACACGCCCATAAAAGCGAAAACATCGACATTACACAAACAACAGTAAAGCTAAACATATACACTTGCTAAAATTTGAACTCGAGGTAAGAAGAAGTAAACGACATGCTGCTGATAGTGCATCTAGCGCACTCTAAAAGTCAGCCTAGGCGGGAATGGGGAGAGGTTTACAGAGGTGACGCAAGATGCTGCTTACAAAATTCGAGGCAACTTCGGTCAAAGTACCTTTTCTACTAGTTGAGAAGAATAAAGGCAAAAGAGGCCAAATTTGACCATAAACCTATCACTCAGAAAGGAAGGGGAATTCCAGACAGCGTTCTTAGAACAGAGCAAAACAGAAACTTTTCCAATGAAAGTTGAAGTAATGCTTTGGCATAATATATCCCTTCTCACCTAACTAGAAATTAACTAAATCTAGTCTGATTTTGCAGTCTGGAAGTCTGGGGGATACAAATTCACGTCAGCTGTAGCGTGCCAGGTGTTTTTCTGTTAGTTTTGGGAGGGGGGGCGGGGTAAGGATCCACCGCCCTGACAGTGGCGGGGGGGGGGCGGCCAGACTCAATGCGTGCATGTGTGCGTGCGTGCGTGTGGTGGGGGGGGGTAACGAATGGCACAAATTTCGGCCAGCGGGGTAATCAGACGTAATGGGAATTACTTTGGGATGCAATCAGGTAACCCTACTTGTCAGGCATGCGATTTTAGGTGGGTACACAGTCAGGCTGCGGGCAAGGTGGTTTTGAACGATCCGTAGCACATCGGATTGCCTTGTATTTGACGCTTTTCCTGAAAGCAGAGCGCACATACCTTTATTATTTGAATCTTTTCCTGTTCTGTGGTTCCTTAACTCTATCCACAATTTCATATGTACATCTAAGTTCCGTAATCGACGCTTCTAATGTTTGCATGTGTTGTCCGTGAATTTGGGTTTACACGATTTCTATATAATTTGCAAGCGTGTGCTTGTCAGTCCTTGCTTTACAGACGCCTTACACAACACTGATAGTCAGGGAATAATCTTTAGTGTATGTATCTTGAATATGACAGCTTTTCAAAACGTTATTTGACTGTAAATCTTTGTAAAACGGAGAATGGTGAAAGGACGGCGTCAATCAACCCCCGCAGAAATGGCGTCGTCCGTTGCCATGGCAACGGGCGTGGTTACGCAATGCAATTTGCGCTGAAAAATCGGACATTAAATCCTGGGCAAACATTGTTCAAAAATTGGGACCTTAGCACTAATCGTTGATTTTTAATGAATATTTTTCATATTTAATTAAGGTCTCATTCATGAGTTTTTTCCATACATTAGAAACCATGCATTAATGAGTGACTTACGAGACCGTGTTCCCTATGATCCTACATTAAATCAATTGATATCTTTCATGCTATGTTGAGCACACTTACTCTACGTCTCATAAAAAAATTGCCAACGACTTCTATACACACAATCCTGTTTTATGGGAATCACAAACTGCACTTAGCAACTGTCCGCAAGAGGCCCTCCCGCGCTGCAAACCTACGACCGCACAACTCACAACAATGGACTGTGCACGTCCGACCTAGCGCGCGGCTGCCGACAATTACGTCCTAATTTCATCAGTTACAAACAAGCTTTCACCGCTTTGACGTTTTACATCAGTTGGGATGGCTAAAGGGAAAATTCTCACCAATAAAAACACGCGTTCATACAGCCGTTTAGTTTTTGACTTGGTACTCTTTTAGGGGGTACACTCGGAGTAATACATGAATGAGACCTTAATGACAGCCTGCCTCAACCAGGCTAGGCCTTTGTAGGCCCTGGAAACAGTCTGGTACCCAGGCTACTTGGAATTGAATCAACTCTGGGAAGGAAGAAAACTACAGTTACCACCATATGGAAAATCTCTTTGCGCTCCTTCGACAATCAAACTTCTCCAGCATGTCAGGATTTGCTGCTGTCTGCACTCGTCGATCTGATTCTGTCAGCGAGCCGGGGCTCATACTTTACCATGGATTATTGTGATACCTCCACAGCGTTGACATGTCAGGAACAAGCTGCTACTGACTTAGCCTGGGTAACACCAGATCCATAGCATGCCAGGCCCACAGTTACATTGACATTGTACATTTGTAGCCAGCAAGTGATCAGGATATAACTGAGGAGTACAATGTACATGTACATGTATCTGTGGTAAAATTTCCTAGGGGGCATGTTGGTCCATTACACTAGCAGCTACTTGAAAAACATTGTGCTTTGCCCTAGTTGAGGATGACAAAAGAAAAAGTAAAAAGACCAGGCCTCTACCAGGCTACTAACACAGTGGGTTCAAAAACAGCTAATAGAGCGTAATCGGTTGTTTTAATTCAATTCAACGTAGAGCGTACTTTGCCTTTTTGATTCTATTTAATGCGGTGTAGCTACACGGAATTTATTGTAGAAGTTAATGGGGAGGC